CTTTCCCTAAATCAGACCAGACCCTGTGCTGCAGGATAAAGCTGAATGTGGCAGCGCTGGACAGGTTTTTAATAGTTTTTGGCTGAGCAGGGAGGCCCTGACAGAGCTGCTGGATCTTCTGAGAAGTGAACGGCGACAGTGATGGGGTGCCACAATCCAGACCCTGGTGTTTCTCTTCTGTCTGGCCAGTGGTACATCATACAGAGTGGTCTCCAGAGTGTTTGACATGCCTCGTTCCACTGTCACCGCATTGTCTTCCGAGTCGCTGAGGAGGTGCTGGCCATTCACCAAGAGATTCACCTCCTGAAGACCCCAGAACACATGGAGGCAGGGCTGGGCTCAAAACTGATGTTGTTTTTCTGATGTTAAACTGAATATATAATAATTTCTGAATATAAATTCCATCGTCATCTGTGCGCAAGTGATTCTGGGATATGGTAGGGTGCGCAGTGTCCATCAGATGTAGACTTCATTTTCCTGGGAAACAGAGGGTGCATTTGGAGTCGCTTTCGAAATACGTCAGACTTCAATCACACTTCAAATGCGCATTTCGGAGTCCGCGCACTTCACATTGGGACACAGCTCATGTGTGCTACTGTGTCCCTATCATTACTGATCATGTTCACCTGTGTCTTGTTAGTTTCCTCATCAAACCTGTCTATTTACAGCCCCAGTTCTGTTCAGCTCTTTGTTTGGTATTCATTGATTTCAGTCACATGACTGGCTCAAAGACATGGAGGGCAAAACATCCACAGAACTGCAGCACATGCCTCTCAGTTTTCTGTTATTTTCCAATCCACAAATATTTAGATAATATTTCAAACAAAGATATTTGAACAACATGTATTTCAATCACTACAAACAGTGGGACATTAACACGTTTAATGTGAAAAACACTTCGAGTGCCTTAATGTATTTAAAACAGTGATATTAAAAGATCAAATTCAGTATATTGATGATGTATACTTTATATACGAGCAGATGAGCTCAAAATATGAATGCAATGTGCTAAAATGTTAAGTGTTTTCTTTATAATGGTGTTCTATGCGGGTGTGACATCACGTGAAAACTATGAATCGTCTGTGTTGAAGTTTGGATGTATTATGACTCCATTGTGTTACTCTGTGACTGTAGTGCTGTTTTGTTTTGCTTAATTTTGTATTTTGTAAATAAAAGATAGACTGCTGTTGTTCAATCCGCTCTTGATCTCTTGCAACAACCCCGTGACATTGCAACAATAATGTATGTCTACATTTTAATATTTGTAGTATTTTATCTGTTTACTTGCATGTCATGTGACCATTAGCCAACATCAGAGAACATGAATGAGTGAATGTGTTAAATTATTGAAATTATTTAATCTGAAATTTACTTCAAGGAAATATATTATTTTATTATGTCTAGGGGTTATTATGTTTGGCTGACGAAAGTTAGTCTGATGTCATAAAATGTAAAGATCCAGGTAACCTCTTTCACTGATGAAATATCACCTTAACTGAGTTGCTGATGGATTTTTCTGTTATCCACAACATTTAAAGCACATTGCCTATTTGTCACGATACACAAGGCAGAGACAGAAGGTAAGAGTGCAAACAAGGTGGTTTATTGACTGAGGCTGGCAACAAAGACAGATAGCAGGTAAATCGTGAGAACAAGAGAGAGTTTGAGGGTTCTTAACTCTGGGTCCTTGGAGTCTGCTCAGTTGCAGGAGTCCGGGGAATGAACGGGATCAACAAGGGACAGGATCGCTGGAACGTAGGAGACACTAGAGGTAAGTAGAGCCACCAGGTAAATAACCAAATGGCGTCTGGTTAGTTTGCTGTAGTGAACCGTAGATCGGACGGTGAGTGACTGAAAGGAGCGTGCTTTTGAAGGTGGCTTGATTGGTGGCGGCAGGTGCAGGTGATCAGAATCCAGGTGAGTTTGACTCGGGAACTGCCGGCGTTCCTGGGCTGAGGATGAGGGTGGAGCTTTGGAGGATACAGGGGTAGTTGGGGTTGAACTCAGGAGCTGGCGCAGCCTCCACTTTGCCAACTTCATATGTGGATCCTGAAATCCATAATGCAAAGTTCAGGTATTGTGCAAATGACCAGCTGGGATCTCCTCGTGGCATTACGAATTGGATCCCCATATTGTTAATTACATTGTGCAAGCTGTCTCTTTAATACCACGTAGTTTACATACATGTTGCTGCTGATTGGGCTGCCATGTTTGACACACACACCAAACGAGAGAAAACGCATCTCAAACCCCGTTGCACACCGTTTCCAGGAAACACGTCACTCAAACTGGAAACTGTAGCAAAACGGTGCACACCAGTTTGGGCTTGAACTTGCCCCAGGTAAATAACCAAATGGCATCTGGTTAGTTTGCTGTAGTGAACCATAGATCGGATGGTGAGTGACTGAAAGGAGCGTGCTTTTGAAGGTGGCTTGATTGGTGGCGGCAGGTGCAGGTGATCAGAATCCAGGTGAGTGAGATCTGGTGAGATTGGTGATTGTGAATGTGAACTGGTGTGAGCCAAGGAGGATTCTGGGATAAGGAGTCCAGAGCTGGTGACAGATGACAGATACTCCCTGACACTATTATGTTCATGAAATGGAATGAATTTATAAAAATTCTAGGCTATAAATAGAAGAGCATCAGTGAACATCTGTACATTTGCTAACTCATGTCAGAATGATAATATTAATGATCAAAATAATTTAAACTCTCTGAATAGGTTGGAAATGTACAACTCAACATGAAGATGGCTCTCTTGTTCCTTTAGGTCTATGAAAGCCCAAACCCGAGGAGGTGGTCTTCACAGGGATGTTCTTCACCAGGTGATGGAGCGCTTACTCCAGAGAGAGATTTGCTACTGTGAAGATTATAGGTTCAGGACTGTGTGACTGAGAGTGTGTCCTCTCTTCACACAGGATGGCATTAGTTGGTTTATGATTTAATAATGCATGTACAACAATATGATTCTTAACACAGTGAGAGACAAATTACGTTTTGCTGTTTAGGCTATGTATTTCATGTGTTGGGTGTGCACAGTTTTTGGCTGATTTATTTATTTTTGCCATTTTGTTCTTACTTCATGTCTATTTTACGCTCTTTGTTAACGTATCCTATATATAATGTTTTTTATATAATTGTATTGTATATAAATTAATTTCAAATGTTCATCCCTCATTCTTTGCCACATATTATGACTAGCTTTGCTTATATTGTATTAAGCTTGCTTAATAATTGTGTGTGAGTAGTTTTTGTAAAGCTTTTTGTAAAGATGATGTTTATTTTGAAAGATCTATAGTCTATACCTTACAATTTTTACTCATATCCAAAAATTAATTAAACAAAGCTACACTTAATATCAGTGTTGGGGAAAGTTACTTTTAAAAGTAATGCATTACAATATTGCGTTACTCCATAAAAAAGTAACTAATTACGTTACTTGGTTACTTTTTATGGAAAGTAATGTGTTGCGTTACTTTTGCGTTACTTTTTAAATCTGGACAGGGCTTGCTTGTTTGTTTTTAAAATAAAAAATGTTATATTTTTGGCAAATATAAAAGCCTTTTCACACCAAAAGTGAAATGAATAAGCCTCAGGCTGAAGGGAAAGTAAATTTACGTCTGTACAGTAGAATGCAGAAGAAGAAATTTCAACACACTTCAGCAATAAAAAAAACACACAAATGTTTGTCTAGAGTAATTTTTGCTTATTAGTACGGTTGAACTGGATCATCGAAGGTCAGAAGCAAAGACATTGGTTAATAGAATGGGATTAAATACATAAAGGATATTTGTGTTGTTTAACATTTAATTATTGCATATTCTGAGTTGCATAATTTTTTTATTCATTTTGAGGAATACTGAATCTGTGTTTTTTGTTTGTGAGATGAATTAATGCATATTCATATTTATTTTAGAACTACAGTAGCATCTTCTGATTTCTCTCAACATGGGGACAGGAGAGCTGTCAATCAATAAATTGGAAAAAAAAAAGTAACTTGCGTTACTTATTTGAAAAAGTAACTCAGATATTCTCTTGTAAATTAAAAAGTAATGCGTTACTTTACTAGTTACTTGAAAAAAGTAATCTGATTACGTAACTCGCGTTACTTGTAATGCGTTACCCCCAACACTGCTTAATATAGACTACACCTTTGTCAGTAGAGTAAGAAACTTCAGTCTGTGTAAATGATTCATACTGGATCATCACCCGTTTGGCGTGTTCATTCAAAAGAACCGACTCAAAGGAGTGATTCATTCGCGAATCCGACATCCTCTCGCTTTTTTAACATTTCACCTTAACAAAAACACCTTAACCTCTTTTATAGCAACTGAAATGTTCAATTAAATTAAATAGTATTTTAAAATAAATTACTAAAAGATGTTTAAAAAATACACGCAAGTGACTTTTAAGCTACATTTGCGTTCAGCTACGACAGACTGTCGCAAACGGGCTCTCACGGTTCCTTACGATGCTTGCGTGGACTTCAGAAGCCGTCAAGTCTGTACACATGGGTAAGTGTGAACGAGTTTCATCGTTTTGTCGAAGAACACCGAAATTACCTCTCTTTTTGGACAAGACATGTTTCAATAGTGTATATGTGTAACATTTATTGGACTACATGCCTGCCAGTAGTTTTAAGATGATCTATAAGCCTCTCGCCATGGTTCTATAATGAAAGAATGCGTTTAATTGTTCAGCTTCTAGAATTGCAATGTACATTTGTTAAATCAATAATACAACAAAGTTAATTAACCACTTGCAGTCCAGAATGGAGGCCAAACCAAGGAAAAAGTCATTCACGCCTAGAGACGGGAAGAAACCATCATTCAAAGGTATCTTTCTATTTGTTTTTTATCTATCTATCTATCTATCTATCTCTCTCTCTCTCTCTCTCTCTCTATATATATATATATATATATATTATGCAGTAAGATCTCTAACCTGACTTCGTTTTCAAGTTTGCAGTGTGATTGTAAACAACCCACAATCCAGCAGGGCTGTATTGACAAAATCTCTGCTTACTGACATATGCTTACAAAGCATTAATATCTGTTTACCTTTATTAGGAAAACCACCATTCAAACCTCACAACACAGGCAAAAGCAAGAGTTGTAAAAAATCAGGTGGAGATGGAGGGCCGCAGAAATTCAACAGAAAAGCAGCAGATGGAAAGTTCACAAAGAAGAGAAAACACCCGGGAAGCAAAAAAGATGAAGGTGCAAATATCTCCTGAATTGCCTTATTTTGGAGTAGTTTTGTATTATGTATCGTGGAGTTTTGTGGTTTTTCAGGGGTTTATTAATCGATAACTTTTTCTTTGACAGGCTCTGAAGGGAAGAAACCTAAATGGGATGAATTCAAACAAAAAAAGAAAGAGTTGAAGCAGAATCGCCAGCAGAATGAGAAAAACGAGAGTTACCAGATTGTAAGCAGAGCAAAGCAAGTGTGGGAAATTGTAAGGCGGTAAGTGTTTACAATTATTTATTGCATGGGAGAATGTTGTCTATAGGTGTTTCTTTTGTTATAGGTCTTTTAAGCCCTTTTGACGCTGTCAAATAATAATAATCTCTAATAAAACATCTCAGACTCATCATCACCATCATCAACAAATGTCATTTCCATCACATTTCAAATTATACTTCTTTCTGTGGTGGGAAGTAATGATTTTATGCATCCTAAATGCACACAATAAATAATATTTTCACACATCTTGCATAATTTGATAAAGAAATACAGCTTGATTAGAAAGAATGCAGAATAAAAATGGTTCGCAAATGTTATTTATATTTTCTGTTTTCTTAACTAGTAATTTCTTCACTGACCCTGTTGCTTGTTATGGTCAGATTGTTATGTACAAAGTTGTTATTTGTCTGACTTTGTCATAAAATTGATTTGTTTAGACAGCAATTGTTTTGTAAATCATTTTGACAGTTAATTCTTAAATGGTTTATGTGTATGGCACTTTGCATAACTTATATAGTTGTTTATTTAATAGTATTTTAACAAAAGTGACATACAAAAGAAGTTCAAGAAACTTTTAATGTGATTTTCTTAAAACAAACAAAAACTAGATAAATAAATACATCAATTTTAGTTTAAAACATTTAGTTTTAATATCAATAAGTATCAAAGCAAAGATCATTCCTAACAAATGAACAAAGTCATTTTAAAGGGGTCATATGATGCTATTTAAATTTTTCCTTTCTCTTTGGAGTGTTACAAGCTCTTGGTGCATAAAGAAGATCTGTAAAGTTGCAAAGACTAAAGTCGCAAATCCAAAGAGATATTCTTTATAAAAGTTAAGAGTCAACCACACCTACCTAAAACGCCTCGTTCTAACACGCCCCCACATGTCTACGTCACTATGTGGGAAGATTTGCATAATGCCGCCAGCCCGGGGTCGCCACATGTGGTTGCCGCAAGCCCGCCGACCTCCGCTCACTCAAGCCCGCGGTGTGTGACGCTGTGTTTCGTTGTGAAAGTGAAACTACTTAGTTTGGCCTTCCAAAAGAGGACACGTCTAGAAATCAGTGGATAATCATATGACCCCTTTAAAATAAATATCATAGGACAGAAACCTGAGACATAAAAGTTCCAAGGTTGAAGAAACACTCACATCTATGTGTTTTGTGGAAATACAGGAAGGACTGTGACAAGCAAAAAAGGACCAGACTGATGAAAGAACTACAGAGACTTGTGAAGGGAAATATTAAAACAGTAAGTAAAACCTCTTTATTAAGCTGAGCATTCACTGTTTGAAATGATATATCAATGTTTTATTGTAAAACGCTTGCCTTTTCTTTGCTAGATTGCCTTTGCTCATGATTCCACCCGAGTGCTTCAGTGCTTTATTCAGTTTGGCAGTGATGAGCAGAGACAGGAGGTCTTCGATGAACTCAAAGGTTGGTCTTCTCATCAGTGCAATGAAACTGAATTTATGTGAAGTGATTGTCTCTCCTAATCCTTTTCACTTTCTAGAGCACCTTGTGGAGTTGAGTAAATCGAAATATGCAAGAAACATTGTGAAAAAGTTTCTAATGTATGGGTAAGTCACGTCAGTTTCTCAGTAAATTATAATGCAGTTATTCTGAAAAACATGGACTAAATAACATTCTCTCCTAAAAGTGTTTACATTGTTTGACTTGATTCAGAATGAGAACGATCCATGATTTTATGATCCACTCAAAGAGGAAATGTTAAATAATACGGATTTGTCCTGTAGGAGTAAACAGCAGGTGGGGGCAGTGATGTCGGCTTTTAAGGGGAACGTCAGGCAGATGCTCAGGCACTCCGAGGCGTCTTCAGTAGTCGAGTACGCTTACAACAACAAGGCCGTCCTGTCCCAGAGACTCATGCTCACCGAGGAGCTCTACGGAAACACATTCCAAGTCTGCAAGGTACTCGAGCTCTGAGCTGCTGGGTTCTTGGAAGCTTTGTTTCTGAAGTACATAGAAAGATCAGTGTGTTAGTTGTCCGCAACGATGGTGATAACATGTTCTTTTTTGCAGTCCTCAGTTTGTCCAACGTTAAACAAGGTCTTGAAAGCAAATCCAGAGAAATTCGAGAGCATCATGGATGAAATTAAGCAGATCCTCACACCAATGGCACAGAAGTGAGTTTTTAGGGCTGTCTACTGAAATCAGTTTTGCATTTTTTTTTTTTTAATTGTCTGCGGTTTATTTTTAATTGCTATATTTATGTATACATGGTGAGTTTTTTGTTTGGGTCAAGATATTAGATCACTGTGACTGAATACATCGCTACCCAAGTTATTTTTGCTAGAAATCCTTCTAAAAAATGTGGTTTATGTATTATAAAATGCCTATTTATTTATCAGTTGGTTAATTTAATGAATTAAATACAAATCTTTTAAGACAGTATTATTTTTTTAAATATTATTTTATTTATTTAATGAATTATTAATTATTTTATTATTTATTTTATTTATTTAATGAACTCGAAGCAAATATGATTGTGATGATTCTAACAGAGAAATGACAATTCTCAAATCACTGCAAAAAAGTTTCATTATGTAACACCTGAGTTAAAAACGAAATCATTTTTCATTCATTGAAGTGAAGCTGAAATGAAATGTAATTATTAGATGGAAAAACGTCAATGAAAATGAGAAATGTTGTGAGAGCAAATAACTGAATATAAAATAGGGTTATTTGAAGTATTAAATTACTAAAACTGTAATAAATTAGGGCCAAATACAAACATTAAAAATAAAAATGTCAAAAGCACATAGTAAAATTGCTAACATGTAAAAGAAAACTAAATATAAAAATAAAATTCAGAATATGCATAAATGCTACAAGAGTAAAGGCCCGTTCACACCAAGGACGATAACTATAAAGATAACGATAAAGATATAGTTCTAAAAATCGTTCTCAATATTAAAGAATAGCAAAGTCCACACCACAACTATAACGATAAAGACAAAGAGAAACGATATCGTTGAAATCACTTTCAAAACGATTTTTCTCCAGCTGATGAACGATGATAAATTGACAGCCAATGAGAATCCATCCTGCTGTAACGAGCTAAAAAATTTAAAGCGGCAGACGAGCGTGCACTTAGAATAAACAGATGATATCGTTCGCTGGTGTGTACGCTAATATCGTTATCTTTATAGTAATCTTTATAGTTATCGTTCTTGGTGTGAACGGGGCTTAATACCGTCCATCAGTACTGGCATGTGATTCAGTTTTCTCTTAATACGTAATCTTTGGGTGTATTAAAGGGATAGTTCACCCAAAAATGTTTGAACAATCCGGATAAGTGTAAGTAAGTACCATTTTGTCGTACCTACAATGTTTGTGCACTGTCTAAACAATGAGTGACGTATACGCGCGAGAGATCACTTCCGGCGCTTGCGTAAACTATGCAAAGTTTGCAATGGTAAGCTGCCCTTCCTTATCTATACAGTATGAATGGGTGAATATCACAGAAGTCTGGATTGCACTGCCATTCAAACGTTTGGGATCCGTAAGATTTTTGTTTTCTAAAAAAATTTCTTATGCTCAGAGAAAGGCTGTGTTTATTTGATCAGAAATACAGAAATAAATGTAATATTGTGAAATATTATTATGATATAAAATAATGTTTTTCGATTTTAATATATTAAAAAAAAATTAATTTATTCCTGTGATCAAAGCTGAATTTTTAGCATCATTACTCCAGTCTTCAGTGTCACATGATCCTTCAGAAATCACTCTAATATGCTGATTTATTATCAGTGCTGGAAACTTCTATTGTTAGAAAAGATTACTATTTTGAATAAATGCTGTTCTTTTTATTCATCAAAGAATTCTGAAAAAAGTATTGCAGTTCACCAAAAAAAAAAATAAAATAATAATAATATATATATATATAGTAATGGCTGATGGAAATTCACTTTTGCATCACAGGAATAAATTATGTTTTAAAGTATATTAAAACAGAAACCATTATTTTATATTGTAATAACATTTCGCAGTATTACTGTTTTTTTTTTCTGTAGTTTTGATCAATTAAAAGCGGCCTTGATGAGCATAAGAGACTTCTTTAAAAAACATTACAAGTCTTACTGATCCCAAACTTTTGAATGGAAGTGTATATTTTATCCCAAAATTTAAAAAAGAAGGGTAAAAAAACAAACTATATATAGATATATATATATATCTATCTCAATCTCATTGACCGTTTTCGTGAGATTCACCCAGTTAATGGATTAATTTTAGTCCATCACATGTATTACATGAGTAAAAAAAGATTCATTTATGTATTTTCAGGGTGAATTTGCTCATCTTGTACTGTTGGCTGCATTTGATTGCATCGATGACACCAAGTTGGTTAAACAAATTATCATCTCAGTAAGTGCTCTTTAGTTTCTTTCAAGTTAGATATTATTTATTTAATAGTTGATGGTTTATCTGTCTTATAATTTCTAATATTTGAATAATTTAAGATTTCTAATATAATGTTTATTTTACTCTCAGGAAATGGTTCGTTCCCTATCTGAAATAATCAGCAATAAATATGGTAAAAAGGTGCTGCTTTACCTGCTGAGCCCAAGAAACCCAGCCCATCTCTTAGCTGAGATCATTCAAGTGCTTGAGAAAGGTGACGGCAATGCACACAGGTATGTCACATGAGAAAATGTCCTGTCTTCTATTGACATGTACTGCATTTGGCTCATAAGTGCCAACCACAGCCCTAAAACAGTGTCAGATGGAAAATAAAGGATGGTGCTGAAGCATATGTTTTTCCTCTTATAGTAAGAAGGATGTCGCGATCAGGAGGACGGAGCTGCTGGAGGCCGTGTCTCCTCCTCTGCTGAAGTACTTGTGTAAGAACGCTCAGTCTATGGTCATGGATAAAGCGTGTAGCGTGGCTGTGAGGGACCTCCTGGGCACCGCCATCGGAGATCTCAGACCTGCCATGGAGGCTGTGGCGGCTCAGGCAGCCGAACCCCTCATACCGGGAGGAGAAGATGGCGAGGTAATGAATCTACGAGTTTCTGCCATAATGCTGACAACCTTCTACGGACACCTTGGCAATTGAATCGCCATTCATTCATTTATTCAAGTTTATTTTTAAATAACATTATCCAGGGCTTAAAGTTCTCCGGCACCGTGCCGGATCTCCGGCGTGTTCCGTTTAACTGCGGGAAAATAAGATAGCCTAGTCCTCCTACATTTAAAAAAAAAAAAAAAACTTGTTGAAATCAACGTTTGAGTTAATGAGTTTGCCTACCAATGTATGAGAGGAACACAGCTTTCACTCTCAACCAAACTAACATTACTAGCCAATCAGACGTTTTTGGTCCTATTAACATGAGGCGCGCATAATAGTAGCCAACTGCAGAGCTGATGAGTGCGACACATTCTGAAAAAGCTGCGAGGTGCAATGGTCAAAGATTTCCATCTAGAGCCATATTTATATAGAAAAGCTATTTTATATATAATTAACGGAGCTTTGTAAACAGCTCCGAGTAATCACGTCATCTCCATAAGGATTGGCAGAACAAATTTACATGTAGTTTTGAAAAGGTCCTGTTAGGGCTGCACGATTAATCGAACGCGATTAATTGCGTACATGTAAATGCTGCTCCATCTGAGAGCACGTGAAAATACCACATTTAATAACATGTTTTTACTCCAAACTCACTTCATAACGTCAGTCGAGTGTTTGAAATAAATCCTTCTGTGAGATGTCCAACTGCAGAGTCGCAGCTGATGAGCGCGGCACATTCTGAAAAAGCTGCGAGGCGCAATGGTCAAAGATTTCCATCTAGAGCCATATTTATATAGAAAAGCTATTTTCTATATAATTAACGGAGCTTTGTAAACAGCTCAGAGTAATCACGTCATCTCCATAAGAACGATATGATTAGCAGAACAAATTTACCTGTAGTTTTGTAAAGGTCCTGTTCACACATGATCTCTTAACGGCAATTTACCAGTGAAGACTGTATGTGTGAAAGGGGCTAAACTCTTCCTCTGCATATGCAGTGAGTTTGGGTTGCTTAACATTCATCTGGGAAAACTGCGTTATCTCACTTAATTTGTAACTTAAGTCATTTTTAAACCTATGCCAACACAGAATACATCAACATATTTCTAAATATGCGATTTATTGTAGATCGCAATTTCAAAATAAAAGTTTCTCACTTTGCATATGGTCAAATAATTTAAACGTCGTTGAATCACATGAAACATCACCAGGCTATTGGCGCCCTCTGCAGGTATTTGTTATAATATTACATTATGTATTTAACAGTTGTTCAATAAAACCATGTACTTGGTTTTGATACTTTATTTGAGCCAATTATTATTGACTCATCGTTAGTTTATATATAAATATAGTCATATTAAAGCCTGTTTTTCACTTAGTTCTATTTGTATTACTAAAACATACTTGTCAAAATAATCAGTAGATTACTTGATTAGCAATAATTGTTAGTTAAGCCCTAGATTTGTTAAAACATTTCAAAATATAACTGCATTGTTCTACTTTTTGTAATTAAAAGACAAATATTTTGTCATTCAAATATTTCTTAAAGTATTAAAACATTGTCTCGTTCTATTGAACCAAGTATATGCATTTTGTCTCATCTCATGAGATAAGTTTATTGTCACACTCCTAGTGTCTGAGCGGTGATATAGCTCATAATTTTCCAAGTGTATGATATAGCATAGCTTTCATTCTTCAGGTCAATCATATACTCGTGAAAAAAAAAAATCAAGTTGAATAAGGAAAGCGATAACTTTGCCATAGCATCCTTTCAAATGTTAAAGTTGCCACAGTCATTGCATTCTTTGCATGTGCAGCACTTTATTTGTACCATTTGTTTTATTAGTTTATATATTAGAATTTGAAAGACAATAACAATATTTTTTGATAAGTGAGATCTGATTTTAGTCCTTGAAAACCAAAAGAGTAGTGCTTGAAAAATCCTTGAAAGTCCTGGAATTTCATTTTGCAGTATCTGTACAAAAACCCTGTTTAAGTTACCAGTTCTTGGAGCATTTTATTTTGTTGTTGTTAATTGAACTGAAATGTAGTGTAGTTTTCTGTAGTAAACTGTCTTTGTATATTTCCTTTTTTATATTCATTTCCTAGTATTTAATTTACTATTATTTCTTTTGAACAAAACAATTTCAGACATTTCATGTTTTATTTATTTTGTTGTTGTTAATTGAACTGAAATGTAGTGTAGTTTTCTGTAGTAAACTGTCTTTGTATATTTCCTTTTTTATATTCATTTCCTAGTATTTAATTTACTATTATTTCTTTTGAACAAAACAATTTCAGAAATTTCATGTTTTAGATTGTAGGTCATCTTGTACCCTGTCAAGGACAAAACTAACCAGCAAAACTTGATATCAAAGCATCCTAAATGTTACATGTGTTTGCATTATAGTGAGTAACCTTTCCTGGTATTGCTGTTTCAAATATCCCACCATAATCTGTAGTCTGAGCCTGTCAAGGGCTAATGGCAAGAGCATATATGTTACTAGTTAGTTTCAAGGAAAATCATTTTCAAATAATGTTCTTTTTTTTTTTTGCCAAATAACTCTGTGTATGTGTCCGCCCCCGCAACCCCCCAACCCCCGGAAAATTCTGGCTCAGGATTTTTTTTTTGCTTCAAACTAAACTATCTGTTCATATTATTGAATGGTCTTGAGCTAATGTGAACTAACAATAAACAGTTGTATTTCTATTAACTAACAATAGCAAAGATTAATAAATACTGAAGCAGAGGTATTGCTTATTAGTTAATGTTAGTTAATGCATTAAGTAATGGGTCTTTATTCTGAAGTCTTTTTTTTTTAAATTTTTTAGTAGAAATGTTTGGAGCATTACAGGGTTTCAGGTTTTATTTATTTCTTTTTTTTATGGTAATGGTTTGATAATTGTGTTTCCTGTAGCTTCATATGGCAGAACACCCCGCTGGTCATCTGGTGTTGAAATGGTTGATTGAGCAGGATGCTAAGATGAAGGAGGCAGAGAGAGAAGGCAAGTACAAAATCTCAAACCCTGACACACTCGCGTCATGGATCACAGCTTTGAGTTTAAAAGCTTGATGGGAATTTTGAGAATACTTTTGGATTTCCTTTTCCATTCTTAGAAGTCATTTTCTTTATGTAAACTTGCTAATAAAAACCAATTTAGCAGTTTTCCAATGCGAACAAATGTTTTACTGGCCTGTTCTGACTTATTTTATTCCCCAGAGCGTTTTTCCAGGATTCTTCTGGAGAAGGTGGGGTTGGAGAACCTCAAGACGTGGGCTTCAGTCAACCGTGGTGCCATTGTTCTTTGTTGGTAAGTTTATGACCTCCACAAATGAACGGATCTAAAAATAACAAAATACACTCCCTTTTATGCACTCTGGTAAGATAGAAAACTTGCTTTTGAATTGGTGGGCGTAAAATAGCACAGCAGCCATTGGTCTGTGAGCACTGGTTAAATACTGAATACACACAGAAGAACATCCCTGTACAATCATTCATGTTTAAAGCCCCTCCTTTACAAAGCCTCCAAAAGTGCTTATACTATGACATCCCAAGCTCTCTATCGCAGCAAATTTGCTGCTTTTCCATCACACTGTCTTTTAAACCATGATTATTAGCTGGAGGAATTCCCTACAGTGAGCTTTAGGTTAAGCACATCTGCCACAGTCCTGCTTCATTATTCTATGCTGTTGTCTGTATGCTAATAAAGGGCTAAACTGTGGCTCCCAGCTGCCATTGAAATAGGCAAACCCTTGAGTTACATGCCGCAAAGGATTATGGGTTCTTTCCACTCCCCATCTCAGCCTCAGTCTTTGTGCGTGACCTCTTATAATCTCCCTAAGACTTTAAGCAGTGAGAGATGTTTCTTTATATTTTTAGCCTAGACTGTTTGTTTATTCTGATGTCATTTTCCCACCAATCAAATAGGAAATAAATGAACCCCCTGCTGTATGCAGAGACACGTTTAACGTATGAGTGGATCTGTGAAATGGTTAATTGTATTTGATTGAGGTTTCAGCTGCTTTTTTGGGTTTTCATTGTGTTTCCACAGCCTTCTCCAGAGTGCAGATGAAAGTGTTGCTGAAGAAGTGGAAGTTATGCTGAAATCCATCTTTCCTGAACTACAGAAGATCCAGAACTCGAAAGGAGTTGAGGTTCTGCTTGAAAAACTGGCCTGATCTGCCAAATCAGTTGTTTTGTTAGTTTTTTCATTTTTAATTGTGAATTTATATGTTGATGTATGTAAATACAAAACACACAAAAATTGTTTATTTTATTATTATTTTTCTTTTTAATCTCATGAAACCAATCAAGAACATGTCTATACAGGTTATATTTCACCCCAAAAATCAATGGAAACATTTTCATGAAAATTAAGCAAATGATGCTATAATGTGGACAGAGATGCTATGATAATATTTCTTGCACAACATTTAATATATGCGGATTAAAAAAATGCCAATTCTGATTTTCACTTCTATTACGAGAAACTTAGGAGGAAATGTTAATGCTATAGCCTTTGTGTATATATTTAAAGATGTGCATCTTTAAGCATGACAGTTGAAATGAAATGGTAACACTTTAAAATGAGTCCATTTGTAGCATTAAGATTAGTGAAAGCTGTGTAAGTATTGTTCCTTGTTAGAGTGTGTTAATTTCAACATTTACTATTACTATTATTATTATTATTACTACTACTACTAGTATGGTTCAGTACTGTTTTTGTTAATAAAGCACTATTTTAGTTTTTGTTCAGTATCAATTTTAAAACTATCGGTTAATTAATCGGTATCGGCCAGTGTGGTCCAACCTAGCTATCGGTATCGGCAAAATCCACTATCGGTCGACCTCTAGTAGAAATAGTACAATCTTTCTTTTCAAAATAAAGAACATTTTATTTTGGGTTTCACCCAAAAATAAAAAATATAGTAGAGATAAAATATAAAAATGGTAGTTTTGAATATGGAGGCATGTATGCATGCTTGAAAATTAATTTTGTAGCCCTGCTCTACTTCCATCTGTCCTTGGGACTTCAGTGATCCCCAAGGATTAATCTTTCAAGGATTATCAATGCCTGCATGAGCATGCTTTTCAGATTTAATTACATTCTAGTTGTCTACATTCTTATGGACGTCACAATGGCCACCCTTTATTAAATCATCAAGTTTTTGTAATTGTCACACAGCACACCGAGCTATTGTAGTGAGGATGTCAGTTCTGATTTTTTTAAAGCACTGTAAGTTGTTGCCAAATAGCCCTGCCAGTACAGGAGTTAACCTTATAGGAAATCTGTTTGCAATCCGTCCTGCTCAGAGTGCTTCCAGAGGAAGCCAGTTGATGTAAATCATAAATCGGCTTTTCTCGATTGAAACTTACACAAATGCCTATACAAAATTATACATAGATATATAAAAAAAGTATTGAAGCTGAGCTTGTGTTCAGCCAGATATTAAAACCTTCAACTGATTATTTGAAGCAGTGTTTGTCTACCCTGGATTACTTCCTTTTGTTTTAACATTGCCCATAGTGGTAGCAATGGTTATTTTTAATGACATTGTTTTAAAAAAAACTTGATTTTTACTGTGCCATAAAGTAATAATATGAAACAACTGATCTTAGACATTAAATAGTTGTGCCAAGGCAAGTATTTATTAACGGCATCCTTGTAAGAGCAGCCTAAAAACGAACGTTGGTTCGTTTTAAAAGAAATGACTTTTGTTTATAGTACAAAAGTTTCCCAATATGCATGTATCCAGCAGCACAAAAGCAAGCAGTGGCTAATTTGTTTGAAGACAGTAACTTAATTGGTCTGGTTGATTTGGAAAAGAAGACCACCAAGTCCATGGATTAAAAATCAGTCCGTGGATGGAAAGTGTAGGTCAGCACATGGCAACCTAAAAACATTCTGAAACTTTCTTCGCAGCCCTTTTCACAAACCTCACTTTGCCACGATTCTTTAAAGAGGAGGTGTATTCATAGGCTTTCAGCTTTGAATAGTAGTCTGAGAATTTATTGAACAGGATGGAGATTGGCATGCCGTTGAGAATAATTCCAAACGAAATGCACGCAAATGCAAAAATCCTGCCCAGAGGAGTCTCTGGAAACATGTCGCCATAGCCCACAGTGGAGATGCTCACCTGTGGAAAAAAATGCATGAGAAATACTTGAGTGTGCCAGTAAAATGGACTAATGACGCACAATCTTTTAAGATTTAATAAAAAATCAGTCACTAATTCTCATATGCCAAAAATAAACAACATCATTCTAAAGAAGCGCATTATGGGATTACACATTGACGACAGATGCAGTACTTCACTTGGACTTATCACAGTTGTGAGGAAGCATTTAATAGCATTATAGCAGACAGACACCAGGTACTCTGGTTCTGTCAGTACTTTACAGAAAGAAGAAACTATCATGATGTTACAATGATTTTTGGACATGTACCTTAGATATACCATCATAATCATAGAAGTATTTTGGAGTACCATGTATATCCCATAGTATATGGATAATCATTTAGTACCATGGTGTATACTAAAGTATCATTGCATTATCTCCTGATACCATCACGATGCTGAAGTACCACCAAAGTACCACTTATGCCAGAAATAAACTTGAAAAAACGTGTACTTACAGCTGCCCACCACCATGCATGTGGAATACTGGTGAAGTTTGTTTGAGGCATATCATGCTCTACGGTATAGACCATGGCAGAGAATGTGAAAATTCCCATTGCTATGAAGAGGAAAAGACAGCCCACTTGTTGGTAGCATTGCCGGAGTGTGAAGCCAAAAGCTCGAAGACCAGTTGAGTGACGTGCTAGTTTTAGGATACGAAATATCCTCATGAGACGCATGATGCGGAGAACTTGCCCCAATTTACCAACCCGTCCTACAGTCTCAATATCGCTACCATGTTTCCCATAGTCTTCATTCTCAAAACACTCTAAGATCATTTGAAGATATAATGGAAGGATTGCAATCAGGTCCACAGCATTCAGCATGCTCCTTCCAAAGCGTTTGAGATCGGGTGTGGACACAAGCCGGAGCAGATATTCCATGGTAAAAAATGCAATGCAGAAAGTCTCAACATACTCACAGGAGGTCTTCCTACTCAGCTGGCCGGTGGTCGTCGTATATCGCATTTCCTCTACCGTATTGAGAGTCATAGCCACGAGTGATACCAGAACGAAGAAACTGGATGCCACTGCCATGAGCTTGGCTGTGACCGATGAGAAGGGCTTCTCCATCATGTTCCAAATGAGGAAACGTGTATGACCGAAAGCCATATCCTGAAACAAGTCCTCATGCTCCTCAGTTTCCACCTCTGCCTCGAGTTCCCGTTGTACCTTCAGCTGTTCATTGAGTTCATCTTGCTGTTCCTCGAACGAAATGCGGCAGCAGCGATGGGTGTTCTTGATACGAACACCCCAGTAGTTGATCTCCTCCAAAAAATTGCGTGGGCACAATTCATCTTTGATCCAGAAAACTCCAGTCCTATAGAAGTTAAAGATGTTGTGGAAGATGTCTGGATCCCTGTCAAAGAAAAACTCATTGTTCTGGACGGTGTAATCATCACAGAGATCGAGTTTCCTGTTGTGGTCCGTATACGTTGCAAGTCGGCCAATTCTTGTCTTGGGATATTTTGCTGCTACCCTGTAAGAGATCTGGTAGACCTTGCCTCCTACGTTGATGTTCAGCATGTAGTTCTTAGTCGCAGAGGACAGTTTACTGGGGGTCGACATCAACCTCTCTTCTTCATCGTCTTCATACTCTGCATAGATGTCATCTATATCCTTACTTAATTCCTGCATCGAATTCCATGGTTTTACCCAGTTGTTTTGACCAAAAGGAAGCTCAGAATCCTCTGGATCCTTGGGAGCAGGGACTGAGACCCCAAGTTTATAATTGGGAAAAAGGCTTTGCCTCCTGCGTTTAAGCTTGATCATGGTGCCAATGTCCTCTCAGCCTGGCAGATGCACAGGTTACTGGGGGTGTAGAGGCATTAGATGGCTCTAATACCTCTGAGTCAGACCCCTGAGCAACTGCAGGAAGCACCACCGACTAATGTTGCTGACAGAGAGGATCTGAGTGCTTAAAGGTTTAAATGCTATGATCCTCTTCCAGACTCTCTCCACCAACCATGATGTATTTCATCGCCATACATTCACCAATCTCCAATAGAATATGAGGATATTGCACACACTTTCCAACAAAGATATGATGTATTGGAGTTATATGATGATATGGAGTTGATAAAACGATACAAACTTGATCGTCAAGATGTCAATTATTTTTGTATCTTTTGTAGGAAAGAGATTTATTTACAGGAATTTACTTTCTGAAAGTAAGAAATTTACTACAAATCAATGCTCTAACTGCATAAATGATAATTACTTTTTTTTTTTTTGCTGGAAAACTGGAAAAAATGCAGCATAGGATAGTAAGATCTTAAAGAGCACTGTTGTGGTACTAACCCCACCAAACACAACAATGGCCAAAAGTAATTTTTATGACGCTACATTTCCCTTAAACCATCAAAATACAAGGAAAAAACACTGACCAGCGTAGCCAAATGCTTTTAATTGAAAGTAGCTAAAATGGGTCACTAAATGTTGCTAGATGACGTCATAATTCGAGTTCACTGATCTATATAAATAAATATAGATCATTGGGAGAGTCTCGGAATCTAGATAAGGTTTGTCCAAGAAATTGATTTGCTGCTAGGCTTTTGAAAAAAGTATCAAAAGGGGTGAGGATGTCACTAAATCTAGTGTAAATTGGCAAAACTGGCATTGACTACAGTTATTAATATTTCATTGGTCTTCTCGTTTTTGCCTGTTCATAATTTCTTTGTATGACAGCATGGCCAGATATTATGACCGCACAATTTGATATGTTTCATTGCGTTATCACAAATAAAACAATTGAATTTAAGTTAGGGATGCACCGATATGAAAATTTTGGCCGATACCGATAAGGTGGCCGATATATCGTGCATCCCTAATTTAAGTTTAACTATGCAGTATGCTTACAAAATGTTTAACACATTTTTTGAATTAAAGGTGAAGATGTCAAATTTCCTAGGCCAGACATCACTTTTGGCCACTACTATATGGCAGTTCATTGACTTTCCAACTGACCATCAAACCATGCTGCAAAAACAAGCCACTTTTATGAGGATTGTGGGCTTTCCTGGAGTTCTTGGAGCTGTTGATGGAATTCCTGTTCACATTATTGATCAATGAGGAGACATACCAATAGAAAAGGATTTTAAAGCATCAGTACTAATTTGTTATAATTTTGCACAATGCAGAGCATTTTTTAAAGCTGCAGTCCGTAAGTTTTGTCTCTTTGTCACCATCTCTGTTTGAAACCTGCAATTGCAGTTATTTGTGGAATTCTCATCTTTACATGGGTTGTGCATGGCTCCTCCGCATGGATGAATCTGATGTTTTGAGTTGATGTGTGGCTGTTAGTCACCGCACCGGTGTGGATATTCACTGTACTTTGAAATCACAG